AGAGAGTCACCTTCTCTAAACTCCTTCAAATCCAGACTCAAAACCTTCTTCTTCAGAAAAGCCTTTACTTTCCATTCTTCACCCCTCTGCTCTTCTTAATACCATCTTCCACGGTCTCCTCTATTGTTATTGTTGTATTGTTGTAATTATAATTGTGTCCTGTCTTGTGAAATTTTCTTATTTATTGTTGTAGTCTTCTTATTTATTGTTATTGTCATCCTGTAAAGCGCTTTGAGAAGTCACCTTTAAAGGCGCTATATAAAATAAAGATTATTATTATTATTATTATTTAAAACAACATCACCCATTAGAACACGCAGAAAGTAAAAAATTACAGTCACAAACTAGTGTTGTTAGTGGAAGGGGGCCATCTATAAGCACCAGGCCAGTATTCAGTGCGACTACACAGCAGCAAACCATAGTAGCATCATTTTCGAGCACCGTGCCTTACGACAAAAAAACGAAAAGACATGAAGACCTCACAAATGCAGTTGCTGTGATTCATGTATCTTTTTATACCAACAACCAAATTATCCTTCACCTGACCACACCAACACACTGATTTATTGCTTCTGAGACTGTTAGCAATTCCCCTAAGCATCTGATTACAGGAGGAGACATATTTCCAATTTACATACATCAATAATAAAAGACTACTCACTGTACAGACTGATGTTGAGATTCTTCCTGCACTGCTTGGGCTCAGTAAGGAAGTTTCCGTAGCACTTAGGCTCTGCAGTCCAATCAGTCAGACTGCTGACACTCCAGGTGACAGACTGGGCACCTGTTTTCATGCCTGTAGCTCCAACTGTTGCCTCCCAGCCCATTCCTCTGGGTGTCTGTGTTGTAGTGCAGTTCACTGTCACTGGGTCCCCATACCTCACCACAGCTCTCTGAGGGCTGATCTCAAGTGGACACTCTGGGACAGCTCCTGTAGACGAATGCATGATGTTTCAGAAATCATTTTAAAACACTGAATAACAATAAGCATCTAATACCCCTTGGTAAAGAGAAGGATTATGGTTTTCTTCCTATTTTACGGAAGGTTGAATCTTTACAGAACTTACCAGGCCAGTCTAAAAAAAAAACCGTTGAAGCCGATACAGCTGGATAAGATCCTGGGATCAATTAACTACTATCTACAGAATGGGCTAGATGGGCTGAATGACCTCCTGTGATTAGTAACTATTTTAAGATTCATTTTCCCCACGTTCTCTGACTGTCTCTGAAAGAGAGGTGATGGCAAACGCCACAGGTCAGGTCCATTTCACATGAACACAGCGCAGGCAGAGAGCAGGTGCCAAGCTAACTGGTTTCTCCCAAATACACATCACACCTCAAGGATGTCACACAGGAAGTGTATAGTCATCACATGATTTCGTTCTCGTGGTACAGAGCACTGATGAATCTCCTATGAGCTAGGAGATCAGTCCACAGCCTTGGAGCAACAGAACAGAAAGCATTGCCTCCCAGGGCTCTGAGCCTGTCGGTTTGAGAACTGGTAGAAGGTCCTTCGCCCTAACCTTACTGCACTGATCAACACCCCTCAGTGAGGACAAAGCCCCACAGAGGACCGAGGAGGAGGCTTCACTTGCTGTGATCGCTGGCTAGAGGAAGGACTGGGCTAGGAGACGATGGGTCGGCTTCGGGTATTGAACACCTGAGCAGGAAATGGCAAAGTCATCCTTGATCCTTGCACTCAAACTGCTGTATCTCACTGCAATGACACTGGAGTGCTATGGTTTCAAAATGTCCTAGTTCAGAGAAAACAGTTCTCAATGTAAAAGGAGGATGTCAGCTTTCCCCTCCAAGTTCTCTTGAACACAGAAGAGGGACAGATCAGTGGGAACCCTTTGTTTAAAATACTATCCCGCCCAGGAAAGAAATATGTCCAGATATGTGTTACCTGTGTCACAGGTGAAGATGATCCCCAAGATGCTGGTAATCCACAGCTCACGTAGCTTCATTTTGTCTCCTGTAATATTCTGTCCGCAGAAAAGAGAATCAACAAGTGGTTTTGTTCCCAGCTTTGAGAACTGTGTTTTTGGAAACAGGAGAAGGGAGGACCATGGATTTTGGAAGTGCACATCACAGCTGTTTCCCAGACAAGCTTCCTTCCCGTCTTTGCACACACAGGGAGACACAGCGACCAGGTTGGGTCCCTTGGGAGCAGTTTTCCGAAATCAGATTCCCTGACAGGTTTCCCACTCCCCCCGCCACCACAGACTCATGGGATCTGCTTGGTAAACAAGCCCTTTGCCAGCAGCTGGCCTTGCATTGCTGTCAACACAGTCCACCTTCTGGCTGAGGTCCGCGGCGCAGGGCAGCATGGGAAGGGAAATCTAGGGCAGGCGGTGGGAGATTGATGTTCATACAGGTGTTAGGAGAGCACTAGCGGGAATAAGAGAACCATTTGTGAAAGAGGCTGATCTTCTGGAAACTCATTGTGTTTTGTCAGGCATTGCGCTGTGCATATTTTTGCTTTGCAAACTGGGGGCGCAGAGGTTAACATTCTCTCAGTGCTGGGGCTCTGCATTCAATTCCAGACCTGGGGTGCTGTCTGTGTCGTTTGTACATCTGTTCTCCCTGTGTTCGTGTGGGTTTCCCCCAAGTGCTCTGGTTTCCTCACATAGTCCAAAGACATACAGTACCTTTAGGTTAATTGGTTTTTGGGATCATGAGTTGGATGAGGAGGTCAGAAAATGTATGGTTCTCCGTGCAGTTGGTGTCATGATTTGCAACTCATTTGCCACGATTTTATTGTGCTTTGGCTACACATTCCTCTGCTTTTCACATTGAATGGCAACAGGTTGCAATGGAAAAAAGAATGACTTATATTGTGTCATCTAACAGTTCTGCATTAACCACAGCAAGAGAAACCCTGCAGACAGTACACTCCAGCAGAGACAGCACTGGTATTAAGCATAGCAAGAGAGACCCTGCAGACAGAACACTCCAGCAGAGACAGCACTGGTATTATCCACGGCAAGAGAGACCCTGCAGACAGAACACTCCAGCAGAGACAGCACTGGTATTATCCACGGCAAGAGAGACCCTGCAGACAGAACACTCCAGCAGAGACAGCACTGGTATTAACCACAGCAAGAGAGACCCTGGAGACAGAACACTCCAGCAGAGACAGCACTGGTATTAACCACAGCAAGAGAGACCCTGCAGACAGAACACTCCAGCAGTGAGAGCGGAGGATTTCCAGGAATAAATCTGCTGTTAGATCGAGGACCTTAGGATTGAAGAATCTTCCCTCTTCCTGAGAAGTTCCCTTTTGGCACCAGCAACTCATGGCCTAATGGAATAACCATCTCAACTGAAAAAGCACAAACAATACTCACAGCACATGTGCGCTCACCCACAGGAAGTGCTGTTAGCTAAACAGGAAACCGGTCCGGATTAAATTCCAAAGAGCAAAAAAGTGAAATTGCAGGCAGCACTGTCAATTGAACATAAACAAGTACATTTTAAAATGCATTAAAAAGCAGCTTGCTTCTGGTTTGCTGAGAGGAAAAATGTCTACTTAGAGTAATATGTTTTTGACACTCTGTCCCTCTGCTTCACTGCAATGAGGTAAGGGCGTGATTCAGTACACTCAGTGGGTCAAAAAGTCTTAATAGCAGGGCTGTAAGACATGGTTTGGGGTGTCATGTTTGTGCATTTTTCCTTAAACGTGACCAACTAGGTTTGACGATCGCAGCCACGCCCTGTGCTTTTGGAACACATGCTCTTTCGCAGTTTCGATGCTGGTGTGGACCTGCAAATAACTGTTCCAGAAAATAGGTCCGTGTCTCAGTACGCACACTTGGGTTGCTGCTCAGGGCTGCAAAGGCTTACGGTCCATTTCTAATTTGTGTTTCGCGAGGGGGCTCACCAGCACCATCATCGCCCTGCAGTCCGCATCAGAGCAGACTTCGCTGAAGGAAATCACCTCCAATTCCTCGCTTAATGGTGACGTTTTGACGGTTTATTTTTCTACCCTATCAAAGCAGTATATTGTCGCGGAGAATAAAATATTCAAGTGTTAGTCAAATTCAATTTTAGTTAACTCATTATATTTTTTCTAAAAACAAAATTTAATGAGGCTACTTTAGATTCATAAAGTGGAATTGAGAAAGTTTAAGGTACAAAGTGCTGACATAAAGCTATTGTCCCATTTCGACTGACGAAACTTTACCTACAGTACGGTGTATTTTGTAAAGGGAAAGATTAAGTATTTAATAGGGCAAAGTTCTGAGTTATTGCAAAGTTTACCTTATTTATTTTACTTTGACAACTTGGAATCAATCCTGATCAACGTTAAAGAACGCGTTATTTGCCTCATACTGTCATTTTCGTACTGAGATGAAATGCATTTAATAGTACAAAGCTATGAATAGTGCAGTTAATGTACCACCAAGTTGTCATTTACTTCGCCCGTCTCAAGCCTGCTCAGCATGGATGGACACGGTGTGTCCCTACTTTTATGCAGGGGCAGACAAGAAAACATTCAGTTTCATCAAACTGTGAGCGGAGAATGAAAAATTATTTGTAAAAAAAAACTTTGCCGGCGTACACATAGCCGCCTGAAAAGAAGCGGCGGCGAAAAAGCAGCAACAGCAGAAAGCATTTTCACCGTCATCTCTAAAACAACGAGGGATGTCCTGCGTAGGTGTCCCATTATCCTTGCGTGCTGACGCCGTTACTCCACTCTTGCTCTGCGTCACAGAAGGGAGCACGTGGAGGAAGGGTTTATTGCGGGATCTGGGTCACGGCTTGGACGCTTTCGTGATGTCATTCCGACTGTTCTCCATCTTCTGATCCGGCGTCGGTTATTAAACTCAGAGAGGCGTTTGAAACACAAGCGCGCTTTCTCCGGGCGTGTGAACCCCAAACATTAAGCCGCACTCGCATGAAAAAGGGGTGTTTTGAACCCTCTTCAAAACCCAGGCTTGGAATTGTATGCTACAGTATACGCACATCACTGAAATACCGAATAACAGGCATCAGCATTGAAAGACGGGAAGTGAAATTTATTCAGAAGTTAGTCAAATATAACGGATGTCGAACAGCCATACTTAAAAAAATGTGCAGTCACAGGCAGTGTGTGAAAATCTGAATCCATTTGCCCGCATATTCCTTCTGAAATTTCCATTTCTGACATTTCTGAAAGAACCGGCCTCCACCATCTTACCTTGGACGGCTCTTTGCTGCTGTAGAAATACAGTAAATACTTCACTTCTAAAAAGAGAAGGAGAAACTGGAGCAGTTGTAAGGTGCTGGTATCAGGATAAGAGGAGAGGACAACATCTGAGAGATGCAGTAACCACAGTATAACTACAAAATCCGAAGAAAAGACAGCTGCCTGTCCAAATGGCTTGTGCACCATTGCAACACATTACAAACAGATTTTGTTCACTCTTCCAAGTTGTTGCAGGAGGCCCAGGTTTGTGGTTTGTGAAAGAAGGAAAAATAACTGGAGATCATTCCTGTGACGTCAGACCTCCCTGCGCTCCCGAATCCTTTGGAGTGTCACGGATGTTTCACAAGTCGGGACACTATTTCTTCTTCAACACACAGTATAAGACCATCAAGCCGCCTACCAGGAGGAGTATAAGCGGAACCACAATCGCCACGACAATACCTGTCAGAAAAGAAGCACACGGTTCATCATTAGTACATTCTTATCTACAGATGATCCCCAATGATTTGAGCGTTGTGATGTCTGCTTTTTCATTGTTCCTTGTTGCTGTTGTCCGACATTTGAAAGTCATTATATTGTGTGTTTTTTTACTCCATGCATTCTCGATACTGACCTGTTAGGCAAAAAAAAACTTCTTATTGTCCCAAATAAGAGCAGACTACATCAATTCTATAATACTTATTCTTTCAAAGTTCTCTGGAGATTGAATTGTAACTTATCTTGTCCCTGGCCAACCAAACTCGTTTATTAGTCCTAATTATTCAGTTTTTAAGTTGATATATTATATATATTCTAAGAAGAATTTTGAATTAAACAGGGATTTATATTTTGCATATTACATTGTTTGCATATTAATAGTGGGAAAATAATATTTCTATATCCCTGAATCACACTCCATTAAAGTTATACACTCTATATCAGACTATTGCTCGTGTGTGTGGCTAGTTCTTTAAGTGAAGTGACATTTGCACAACTGAGTGTTACGCTGGAGCAATCAGGAATTGCAGGACCTTGCCCAAGGGTAATGCACATCACTTCCTGATTGCTCCAGCGTAACACTCAGTTGCAAAAGCAGCCCCGCAAACCAGGATTTGAGCCTGTAACCCTCCAATAAGTCAGTACTGCCAGAGGTTAACTTGGTTTGTATCCTCAGTGTTGCCAGTATCGGGCGGCATCGCTAGCTCCATGTTCTAGTGGCTGAGTGGCAAAGACCTTCAACACCACAGACCCAAGGAGCAGGCCTGCCTCTATGCTCCTGCCAACAAAAGGCACGTGTGCTTCTATACAGCTCCAAGCGCACCAAAGAAGCGTGCGACACCGGCCTCACCTCCATTGAATCTATTGGACAGCACGATGGTGAACGTCTGGCTGGCTCGCCCCTCTGTATTCGCAGCGATGCACGTGTAAGCACCGGCGTCGGCCTCAGAGTTCACAGTGACAGCCGCCACCGAAGTGTCCCGGTTGGTTGTCACCTGCACCCTGCTAGCACTGGAGTACTTCCATTCGAAGGTGGGGGGAGGGTTGCCGTCGGCAGAGGAGTTCAGGAAGATCCGGGTGCCTGGAGGAACTTGGACGGCCGTGGGCCCCGTGCTGGTGAAAACGGGCTTGTCTGAGGAAGGTAAGGAGAAACATGGCAAGGAAATCACTGCTCAGTGCGAACGATGCGTGGAGTGGCGGGGGCTGGTGCACGTAACTTGCCAGGTGTTTTGGGGTTGGCTACCATTTTCTTCAGACCTTGCTGTCCTGTTTGAAGACTTACTGGAAGGGAGAGCAAAAGCCTCCAGCTTCAGGGACACCACGAACCGAGCAGCAGCTGCCCTAAGGTCAACATTCTCCATTTGAGCGGAGTTCCGCTGGGACGCTACTGACAAATGAATGCTCCAGGAGACAGAAACCGCTCTTTAAACCAGGACTTGAAGGACTTCAGTGGAGCCACACAGACTCCTGTCTCTGCACTGATCCTGCAGTCTGTAAAGCTTTTTACACAAATAACATCAAGAAAGATTCCCCAGGCAGGAAAATAAGAACAGACTATGTTTGTACTGCAAAACAATCAGAGTAAGGCGGTATAAACTCACACAGCACGGCGATGCGGAGAGGATCAGACTGATTTGCAGGAGGGGGCTGTGGTCCTTCTGGGCCCAGGTTGAGCTCTGCCTCACAGGTGAGCTGCTGTCCATTGTCAG